TTTACATGGTATTCCGTATTGATCAACAAATGGAATATCTTATTACTAGAGTCACAAAAGGCAGATGATAGTGACTCACTCTTAAAGGAGTATAGTACAATCAATAGCAAAGTACCAAAGTCATAAGAACATTTCGCTTTTGCGATGAATTCGAAAGTTGCTCGTTACTTACGAATATAGATCCGTATCTCTAGCAATTCGAACTGTTAAGATATGTAATGGGCAACATACAAGTCTATACTTACCACGATACTGCCAATATTTCCACAATTTTGTATGAAAGTGTAACAAGGGTAAAAATGAAATCAGGTATACCTAGCGAGTATTACAAATAACATTTTTCGTACCGAAGTAAAGAAACTTGTCTCTCCATTTCTTCGATTTGATATTAATGTTAGATAATAATGTACCTCTTCTAGAACGCTACGTCGCGTAACCAAACTGTGATGCTTCCTAACACACTAACGCTACCCTGCGTGCAATGCATTGCTGATTGACGAACAAAGCAACGCACTTGATGCAGGATTGCGTCCGTGTGTCGCGGTCTGTCTGCGCGACTGATGGGTACATCAGCGTATTACTGCTATTATTAGAATATGATTAAATAGAAAATAGATTAGATACTATCACAGAAAGAGCATTAACCTTTCATATCCTTCAGCACGTATACATAGAAAAAGTACACTGTATTGCGATTAATGAAGAACAAACGATACAATAAATCCGGCATTTTAGATTCGTTTTTTGTATATCATATCTCGATATTATGTATCGCAGATAATTTTAAATGATTCTGTAACATTGTCGTTTCTCTTTTATCTTCTGCCAAATATATTTTATTGGAAATAATCGATTAATATCGTACACGTTTACTTATACTTTTTGGATAATAACATTTTTAAAAGATTTTTCATTGAGAACTAATCATGTAAATATAATGAAAAAAACAGTCCTGCTGAGTGGCCTAATGGTGGTTATGATGGTGCCTACGATCTTGATACTCATTCTTGTGATACTGCATCCAATCAGCCCATTTATTCGAGTTTCCGTAAGCGTTAGGCCCCTGCGACAGATGAACAGATGCCCGCGATATATCATAATTTAGAGACATTTTACGCGTACTTAACTGTAATTAATACTTTGAAAGCCTGGAGCTTGAGAGTTAGGCAATTTAGGCATTTGAATCTGAAAATAAATGAGGTTATTATATTTTATAATTCCATGCGAGTATTTCTCGATTAAATATATAGAGAGGAAAACAAAGAGATTTTCGGTGAAAAATGTTAGGTAATTTGTAACTTCCTGTTCCTCGTTTTTGAATGCAATAATTTTATACATAGGCTTCCAAAGTATTATAGCGCATTATATTATTACACTCATATTATGACATAAAATTGTATATATATGCACATTGCCTTGCATTAAATTATAAAATGACTATTTTATTGTTTCGTTGTTATAATATTTAATTTAATTTTCATGATTTTTTTTAGTAAAGTCGAATAAATAAATAGAATTTGTAGGAGTAGATTTAAAAAATGGTAAACACATTAAGAATCATCTTTGATACTAATATGTTTCTTTTTTTATACTACTGGTTTAGAGAGAGATTTCTGTACATTTTATAGACATCGTAACATTTATATATTAAAAAAAGGAAGAAAATGCAAAGCATTGACGTTAATGATAACATTAAAATAATATCATTCCAAGATAATAATAATATATAATTATGATATAATAATAACTGAAACATTTTTTTAAGAAAAGAGAGAATAATAAGAGAGAAAATGATATAAATAAATTAATAATTGTTGTGTCTAATTAATGTAGCGTTTATTGAATATGTAACATCAATTATTGAAAATTATTTTTAGAACTGTAGTTGAAATTGAATTTCAAAACTTTCTGAATCTTTTTTTATTGTAATTCGAGGTGATTTCCATTACGAATTATTGTAATAAATTATACTATTATAAATTGTAAGTTTTAATGAGAAATATTATATATGTCACAGCTATATATAGCAAAATTTTATGTGAAATTGAATTGATGTACCTTATAATTAACGGTTCAAATTTTTCTTCTTCCTCTCTCTTAATATTTCAGTTAATTATTATTAAAATTACTCGTCTTTCAAAATAAAATCGCTCTTACCAACAACTTGATTCCTCCTCCTTGATGTCCAGGTGTAGAACCTCCCCCCGCTTGTACAGACTCCACCGAACCTGCAGGTAGACTTTGATAGCCCTGATGCATCTGCATTTGTACACCTCTCTTGTATTGGCTATGATCATGCCGGTCATTATCGTTTTCATATCCGAAGTACGATAATGAATCATCGCCTGTTTGTCGTTTTACAGCAGGCGCCGAACTCTCAGGATAAGACACCCAGAAAGACGTTGGTCCTTTGGACAAAGCCCTGCTCATTATAGAATTTTCTTTGACGGGATTTGCTGAATAAGAAGCTGAATAGGAAACTGGAGTTGCATTGTCCACAGCGGATATTTTCTTCAGAATGGCGTTTAAGAGAGTGTCGTTAATCGGTGAAGCTCCAACTGCACCATTAGCTAATGGAACCTTCGGCAATTCCGGATTATCTGGTGTGCTAGCATTAGTTGCTATCGCGCTTTTTGCAACCACACTGATGTTTCTTTGCAGCTCGGTTAGCATATCAAACACTTGGCTAAGTGCAGTCATTCTCTGCTGAAACGGAAGCGTTGGATCGATTGTTGGCTTCGCAAAAGGAAATGCACCAGAGAAAGGCTTAAAAGGTTTCTTCACCGTAGCAGCAGCGGCTGCCACACTCTTTTCATATGTGATTAGATCATTTAAAGTCGCTATCATATCGCCTTTTAAATTTCCAAGCTCTGACAATATCGTATCGACAATTGTATCTTTAGCAGCTGCAATAGATGACGCATCATCTAAAGATCTTGCGATTTTGTCCGATGAACTGTCGTCGGGTTTTAGAGACCTCAGAAAATCGCTTTTCGTGTCTGAATCATCGCTTGTTTCTAATGCGGTTACATTTATACTGTCAAATAATTTGTCCAGGAAGTCAGACACCTTCTGGGTATACTCGGTTGGACCGGGAATTATAGAGGATGATATCCAAAAACTAGGTGGTACAATAGTGCTCTTCGGCGCAGGTACTTCGGTTGTTGATGCTGGAGTGCTAGTGGCAAGATTTTTGAAGAGCGTGTCCAGGAATTCTGATTTCTTCGAAATGATCGCACTTGGATCCACTGGTCCAAAAGAACTACTTGGTGCAAAAGGTCCACTTGGTCCGAAAGGTCCAAACATTCCCGGCAAGTATTCCTTTGGCACACCAGCGGCTGGTTTTGTTGCCGACATATCTTCTACTATCTTTGGATAAGATGATGAGCCTGGAATGGTATTAACGTCTGCGGAAGAAGGTACTTCTATGCTTCTTCTTCTTCGGGAGAAAGATCCTTTATCCATAAAATCGGGTATTGTTTCTGATGAAAATGGTGTAATGGGGCCGAATTTTGGACCCATTGGACTTATCGGACCTATGGAACCCATTGGGCCAAACTTTGGAGCAAACGGACCAAACATACCGCGTTTATACAAACTGCTACCATCAATTTTTTCTTTACCATCTTGTAGCATGTCTCGTTTATTAAATAATGCATTTGCACTATCAGCATTATCTGAAGCCGGTCCACTTACGCCGTACGGGATAATCGGTTTAGTATCTGCCACGTTATATGTAACTGGTCCTATACCGCCGAATAAGTTACTCAGCATATCTGTCTTTTTAGAAATAAACGCCTTTGGGTCGACGAACTTCGGCATGAACGAAGATTTTGGCATGTAGGGTACAGATATTGTGTCTATTCCTCCTGGAGGTCCGAGAGCTCGCGAATAAACTACGAATTATAAAATAATAAATCAATACGATATCTAATAATATCTTTTATGTACAAAAAGACATTAAGACACAATTAAAAAGCATTGATAAGAAATTTACATTTAAAACTGAATATAAAATTATTAAATTTTTATTCTTCCTTATATAGATATTCGTTTTGTAATCTTAAAATTTTGAAATAGAAAGTAATTACGTAAGTTTCTTATTTGGAATTTAGTTTTCTATTTTACATTTGACATATCAGAAGATTATTTGAATTTGGATTTAGAAGATATTTTAAAAATAAAGAATTTACTTTCTTTAAATGAATAGCACAGTTTTCTTTAAATACATAATTAATAATTTCTTTATATATTTTACACAGAATAATAAAAAGAACTTACCTGGTTTAGATGCAAAATTTGTCCATGGTGCTCCGGGTGGAAGTGCCAAAGTTAAACTGGCAATGAATGCCAACAGGCAGGTGGAAAGTAGAAGTGCTTTCTGTCGGGACATTATACTGAGTAACATGGTCCATGCCGTGAACTCGCTTTTATAATAACCATTGACTAATAATCCTTGCAAAGTCTCCAGGATTATCTGCATGCATGGAGAATGTTGCGGCCCGAGCTCCGCAACGGAGCCTTATTAAAATAATCCACTCGCCATATGTAGAACTTGCAGATGTGTTTTAATTAACCGAAACAATTTCCTCTCAGAGAGAAATGCAATTTCCTTCTTAAAAGCATAAGTATGTCTATTTTAAACAGTAGAGATAATCGTACTTTCTCAACGAAAGAATATCAAATAAAAGAAAAATAAGAGAAACTACCGCATTTAACATTTTTAAAAATATATAGTTGTAATATAAAAAAATAATTTTTTTCTTTTCAAAGTCGCTTATTTTTCTGTTCACTACGTATATAAATAGCGCATTTTACGGATGCGATCGGATTTTAGTCATTTTACAAATGAGCCGTGTAAATTGCATCGTCGGCTGTTTTCAATAATGGAAATACTTCAATTATTTCACGAATACCTTATTTTGACTCATCGAATTTGGTAGGATATCTAAAATCGTTATAAACTATTCGTCACTCTCAAGTCTTACATTATTACGAGTATGGATTTTAAACAGCGTGAGTAATACACTTCAATATAATTATCCAAAAATACGAATAATAGTTGCATAGATTGTGGTTGTCAATTCAATCATGTATATTTATATGATTATTTATCATGGTCAAACAGTATTTTACAGTTGTAAACAGAAATGATTTGATAAATGATATATAAAATTAGATTTTATTTTTTATTTAGAAGATTTATATATATATAAAATAACAAAATTATTATTATGAAACATAGGATTTAATTTTTTAGTTTTAATAGAAAAATTAATTAGAATATTTGTTAACTATAGGGAATACAAACGACACTGATCCCATCGCATCAGCAATAGATTTTTCATCATTATATTCAGCCATACATCATGATTATGAGGGGAACAACATTTCGAATATAATCACGCAATTATTACATATATATCAACCAAAAGATGGCATTAATGCATATGAACATGTGCTGAGAAAAGTTCAAGCTTTACTAGAAGATTGTGGTTTCCAAAAAAAGCAGCTATTGCTTTCAATGATTCCTCCTCCAGATAATACATCAGACAAAACGATTAAAGAAGTGTTTCGTACAATTACAGGTTTTACTAAAGTCAATCTGCAGGAAAAGTAAGCTCTCTTTACACAGTGTAATCTTTTTATTATATAATTTCATATCTCATTATTATTACATTAGCAGCAATACATTTCAAAATATATCTGATATTAAAAATATGGATGGAGTAAATACGGATGTTTCATCACCAAAGCAAAATTTTTTATGCGATAAGAATACGTCGAATTTCAAGTCGTCACTTTCCGAAGCTTTTCCTTTCCGAGGTTTTTCCGAGAGCGAGATTTCTATGATTCCCAGTCATATAAAAAATGTAATCCATTTCAACAGATCCATATAATGCGATTTTTCATTTATAGCTGATGTCAATTTAAATTCTACATATTAATCAATAGGCAGTTTCATCAAATCATCTAAATAATTCAAAGAATTGGCTGGAGAGAAATAAGTATCAAATGCCGTCTTATCGACAATATCTACTTAATAAAAAGTATTATGTGCCGGCTGAAATTAATATGCATAATAATACCATTGCTGAATCACATCCTTGTCACTTGTCTCAGACGGTATATCGGGTCAGAAATATAGTATGTCAGAAAAAAAGAGAAATAAACGAAAAAAGACAAGTAAAATAACTCTAATGTAATTATAAGGATTATTAATACATTTTAGGATACACGCTCGACGAAGACGAGTAACAATACTGAGATAATAGCAGATTTATCGCAAAATAAGATTTCCCAACAATTTAATGAAGTTAAATACAAATATAAAAAATATGAAGATGCATTTGATAAAAATAAAAAATCTGGCATTTCACATATGATAATCGACATTGGTCAAGACACAACAACTAAGCAGACAATTAAAGACGAGATACATAAAATGGATGTGTGTTGCGATGAAGATCAGAATATTATCATAAATGTATGTAAATAAAATATAGAGAATTTTTGTTTAATTTTAGAACAGTTCTCTAAAAGTAAAATTAAATTAAATTTTGCAGGCGGATGATCTTTTACCAACACCTAACGATAGACTTAAAACAAGCTTGAACAATTTTTTAAAACGAGCGCAAGAAGGAACTTTCGTTGGTAACATTATTCATTATACCAATGTATTCAATATTTGTAATTATAGATAATATACAAAATTACAAAAGTAATTTCTCATATATGCATATAGAATCGACTTTCCCACGCATCATATCGCATCCACAGAGCTTCTTGAATTTGGTATGTTTTACATCGAAAGACCCAAAATCTGGAACACCACCAAAAGTTTTAGAAGATTTTACATCTAATAGCGATACCAACAGATGCTTACTTTTAAACAAGCAGAACACAAATATTAACATAGAAAAAAATCAAAAAGAATCGGTTGAAAGGACGAAACAAAAAGCTACTTATGTTAATGAATTGCAAAAGAAACACAATTCTCAGGAATTTAATAAAATAATTAAATTACAATTACAACAAAATAATTTAGATTATGATATGGAAAAGAAAGCGGCTACATTTGAGTGCAAAAATAATACGGAAAAATCAAGACACGGGTAAATGCGTTTATTCTATCGAACGTTTTAGTCACGCGTACAATGCCAAATAATAATAAAACGATTTCTAATTTAGATGCGAAACGGTAGAATTAAAATCGGATAATGTAAATTCCGCAAACAATTTTCAAGCTCGTTCAATGTCTGAACTAGCTGCATACAAGAAACGATATTATGATACATTACTGAATGCTCAGAAGGCGAAAGGTTAATTTTAAAAATTACATTACATATGTATATATATATGTTTAAAATATTCCGTTAAATAATCCTTTAGACATACTTCAGTGTACTTTGTATGGAATACAATAAATTATTGTGATTACTTAGACATAAAAAGTGTTAATAAATATATTGATTACTTAAATTTGTTACAGTTGCAATATCAAATTCTTTAGCGTCTCCGTCGGGTCATTTAATAGCCTATGATGATCCGTATTATTCGAATTACATGTGCCAGCAGCAACACCTGCTTCATCAACAGCGTCATTTGATGGCGAGACCGCAATTTTCGACATATCCGACGGATCTATCCGGATTATCGAGTGTACACCGTGATCAGTACAGTTGGACGAAATCCATCTGTAAATATTTATTACTGAAGCAATTAAGACTTCAACGGCAGGTAAGAAGATACAGAGACATAAGATTATTCTAGGATATATTTACTTACCGGATATTATTGCAGACTTCGCCTTTGTATGCCCGAAATGAAAGGTAATACACTTATGTGCTTAATATAATTGAAATGTATCAAAAATATGATCTTTATGTTCTATATTGGAGTCGTATATTATGTGCTATTTTCTCGATTTCTTCATTCTTCAAGAGGCTGGATTCATCATTATGTTGGACATGTATATCCTTATTCTTCTATGTTAAATGGAAGCGATCAAATAAAGTACTGCGTACGTCGTAAAAACTTGGAAAACATAGTTGGAAAATTGAAGGAGATCGAACATTAATAGTATCGATCTCAATAATAGAGCGATTCTGATACATTAATTCGATGAAAAGTTCCATTGAAGTTACACACAAGTGATATTCCTCTTAATTCCTATTTAATCTTAATTCCTATTTATCTTCGAATATCAATTTGAAGAATTGATTAATATAATAGTAATGATAAAAATGTTGAAAATTTATGTAATTGTAGATTGATATTAGATGTATACAAGCTCGATATGAATCTTATTCTAAAATATTCTTTTACATTAGCCTTCGCGTTGAAAATAATTATTATGCATTGACAATGGAAATATGGTATATAACGATTTATATATACATTTCTTGTTAGATATTCCGATCTTTCTAAGGCGTAGCTCTTATGAAGTTCAACAGATCGCGCAACGATTTTGATAATTCCACTTGTATTTCGGATGATTGCGTGACAATGGTTTGGTTTTGCAATGACATATGCGCAAAATATAATGTCGTACTTATCTGTCATCAATCAAATTGTGTTCAACGCATTTACTAACAAATGTACATTGTTTTGCTCAAGTAATATTACACAAAGTTCACTCTGACTAGATTTGTGATATATTGTTAAGTAACATACACAATCACACGCACAACTCCGCACAATCAATAGTGTATAATAATATTCGCCGCTCATTTTATTCCTAAATGTATAAAATGACATTTAAAAGAATATGTGATAATGCTATAACTTAAGTGTTACGTGACTCATGAATCATTTATTGTCTAGATCATTCGCTATCAGCTCGACAAATCGCCAAGATGTCATACATCGCATGATATCTTTGAGTCATACTTGGCAATCTGCCCAGCCGTTTTATTTATATTCATATCCATTGTTTTCAGACTTCTGAAAAGACATTCGACTCACGATTCGCCTAACAATCCTACAATTAACATATCGCTACAATTTGATGTCCACTATAATTATTGGCAGCATCACATTATTCATTCACATGTAACTAAATATATATAAATACAATGACACTATATATATATATATATTAATACCCGAATACATTCACATAAATATTAAAACACATTAGAAACAAGACAAATATTTCGTATTTGGGACATGTAACGTGACATGGGTTTATTATTTAGCAAATAAGGAATTAGGCCAGTTAAATTATTCTATTAGGAGAATTAAAACAAATTGATAGGAATTCATTCTGTGAAATTAAGTTTCTAAATATTGTAAAGAATACATTCTGTAATTAATTGAATGTGTTCATTAAAATACCTATTTTAATCACAATAATTTTTCCTATCAATTCCTTTTAGCTCGCCTGATTTTGAAAGGATCTCAGGTTATATACAGATTTGGATTGTCATGCTATCACTACGGGTCATTGTCAATCGAACTTAGTATATAAAGAAATCTGCGTCTATATTAATCGTAATCGAAATTTATTGCCTGAATGATAATTTATTCATACAAATTCTAAGGAAACAGTGCTTTTCATGTATCACAAACATACTGCTATTATTTATTATATTAACTTCGTTGAAGCAAATAATTTTACGAATATCAAAGTCAAGTGATAGTTTAGTCTTTATTGTAATAACGATGACTTTAATCCATTAGCTGTCCCTTATTTGATAACACTATTCGATAAATCATGTTTTTATATTTTTCCTGAAAAATTTGAGAATTAACATTAAAAAATCTGTTATTATTACAAATAACAATATGGAACGTGAAATAAAATGATATGAAACTACGTGTACGAATTCGAATTACAAGCCTTGGATGTAAAGTCATTAAGAAAACTGAATCGGTATTACATTACATTCAAAAAGAGCGTCACATTTCCTCTGGCAGTGCTTGTACACTTTGATCTAGCTCAAGGCTAATTGCTTTATTACGCCAAGTGATATATTTTAATAAATTAGTTACTCCTAACAAAACATAAGTTATGTTAAGATAATCACACTTTCAATTCTCAGCATACCAAAGATAAATCATATAGAAAAATTACACGCTATTTCTCATTGTATTCAACAAAACAAGTTGATACTTTATATTTGCCACAACGAAGCTGCTGTATTACATGCTATTTCTCTTTATGAATCTATATGAACACGCATTTCTCTTACACTATTAATTGATTTAAGGTCGACGCATCAAAGTTCGATAAGTGTGTAATTTATTTGTGTTTACACTCGCGGCATCCTATCAAAAGACAAAAAATAGCTGTTGTCAGATAAAATAGTTGTCTTAATCAAGATTAGCTAACATGTTTATATTCATTCGATCGTATAATGGTCGTGATACATTGAACGAAGGAGAAACAAGATATTATAGAAATTCTGAAGACTAGATATGCTATTATATATTAAAAAAGACTTAATGGAATTATCAATCAGGAAACAAGCGCTTAACAGTTTTCCTCTAAGATGAATTGTACTTCTAACACGATATGTATATACTAAAAAATACTTTGCTCTTTAATTTGATGGATTATTAAGAAGATATAGTTGTACAAAAAAGTGCTTGACTAGAGTTGACTAGACTCTTTCATTAAAAGATTAATACAATAAATAATACTATTCGTTTAATAATTTTAAAACTACGTAAGACGTACTTATAAATGATGCATACAGGAACAGGGACGGATCATTCTCTTTTAATAACTTAAATCAGCAAAAATCTATTAATTTCTGTATTATTATATATGTGAAAAAAATTCAATTTAAAGATTTAATAAAAGATAATCAATTATATATATATGTATATATATAGACATTTTTTAAATTAGTATTATTTAATTTGGACAATTATAATTAAATAAAACTTGTGTAATTTAAGTGATTTGTACATCCGTCCTTGTGCAAGAATGACACTATTGTAATATAATGAGCACATTTCAGAGTGTGAGCTAATTAGAATAATACAATGAATAATCGTTCCAGGCATACTATTCTGTTCATACGAGAACTAATGCCAAACCGATCTTCCAATGCAAAGATTAAGTCTTAGAATTTTATTATAAGTCAATAAAAAATTCTCTCTATATGAAATTATTTTTAGCATTTTTCTCAAAATGTGCTTTATAATAAAAATTTAAAATTCTATAAGGCCATTGTGTGAAATATATATTTATAAAGGTATTGTCATTGCAAAATAAAATATTATCGTGATTTTATTATTATGCTAATTATTAATAAGCTATCCGATCATAGCTTAATTAAAACAAAATTTAAGTGATCAAGAAAGTTATTTTATAATTTCGCGAATATATAATCTTTTCCTTTATTAAAAACTTTATTAAAAGCATCGTAATATAATATAATTTCATAAACTTCGATTTTCGCATATTTTACTTATAATCACATCGTAATTTTTTAAGCATTTTAAAATAAATTAATATATACGAGTTATATAACCAGTTTCATTTCCTTAAATAATATTAAAATATAATTTAATAAAAGAAGAATCTTGTGCGCTTGTGTTTCAAGAGTTTGCAATTACATATAAATTTAAATAGACAAGTTACAGTCGCAAATTGCAGTTGCAACTGCCGTTCTTTGTATGTAGGATTGATAGAAAGATCGGTCTAGCTGCATTTTATTATGTATGTATATAATCCTTTCAAGGTTTAATATATACACTTTCATCTTAAAGAATAGGCGGTTTCTCCCTGCATGTACTAAACGCTTTTTCAAGTATGCATGGAGCTCAAAATATGTTGGCATCAAAATATGATAGAAATAATTAGTTAAATATATATTAGTGTTACGTGCTATATAGTGGTCTTATACTTACAAAATCCCATTAAAACTTACTTAGATTTATTATTTGGTACATGATTGGAATGAAGTGGCATTATTTGCTTATCAAAGTTGGGCAGTCTGGTTTTGTGTGATGCAAAACGTCAGGACCCGAACAACTAAAGAGAATCTATCCTCTTGGCAGCAAAATGTACAAGGCAGCAATAATTTTATACAAGATCTTAAATCTTTGGACATATTTTCGTCCTGCAAAATTCGATAACGACGAACTTGATGAGCCCTATAATAAGTCCGGGCTACGTCTTTTTCACCTGTTGCATGTACGAAATATAGTAATCTATATATTTTACGTTAACATTTTAAATCACATTCAATTTCATGCACAGTTGAAAACACAGATACAAAATATAAAATCAAGATACAGTTTTCTACTTCAGTCACTATGCATCATTTAATATCAAATATAAAAATCAGACATTTTGTATGCAAGCAAGAAAAAAGAATATAAAATTTCAATTATAATATAAACTACTATTGTAATTGAATAACATGTTTAACGTAAAGTATATAGATGTACTCGGTTTATAAAAAATTTTGTTATGTCACAAACTGTTCACAGAAATTGCTCGGTTCAGAACAAGTTCATTTTTTACCTAAAGTGTGTGCTTCATATTTCATAAGACATTCAGGTAAAGCTGTAAGGATCGATAGTTTTGCTAGAACAAGGTTGAACATCATCTGGTGGTGGGCGCCACTGTCCGGACCACATAGCGTTACGAACCACATTCGCATCAGTAGTTTCTTCTATACCGTTGCTAGATGTACATTCCGCTTCCCAGTTTCGAAGACCGTTTCGAGTCACTCGATTGATCGATCTAGCCTCATTCATTTCACAATAATTCTGTGCGTCATTGTTCACTGGCATTCGCCTAGTTTTACTTTTAATTTGCGTAGTACCACTATTCCTACGTTCGGCTTCGGGCCACGGCTGAGACTGCTCCACTGTAGACTGTAGAGGTAACTTTCGCGGCACTCGTCTAGTCTTCGCTTCTTCTGCAGTAACAAGGCTAGCATCGACTTTACTACTACCTGGTGCGTTTCCATCACCGGTTGAACTACTGTCACCCTCTTTTCTTCGTCTTCTTCGTCTCCTCTCAATCTCAGTATCTTCCCTCTGAGTATCCTCATTATTCGTATGTGTTTCTAAAATATGTTGCTTGGCTGTAGCCCAATGGTCCTTTCTATTTGCGCCTTGTTTAAATTTCTCGTGATTGCTACCGCGATGGCCACCGTTACTAGTGTTCGTATCACTGTCCACATTACGTTTCTT